TAGGGAAAGGGTGCCAGTAAGAAAGAAAATGACTTTGAGGTATGAAAGTAAGGACTGATGTTCGCTTGCTTTAAGTGACTAAGTTTTCTCCATTCCATGAGACTAAGTATGATCGAGAATAGCTAGCATTGACATAATTTCCTATTTGGCAAGTATTGTGTTTTTCCGGGAGACAATCTCACCCTTTAAAGTGTATTTTGAAATTAACACAACCCTTTTTAATACTTCTCTCTGTTGATCTCATTTAATGTTTAAATTTTTTTTTTTTGGCAATATGCAGGCTTGCATGTTATCATGTATGTTGTGTTTTTCCCTCTTTCCATTATGTACTTGGGCATTTTCTGTTGTTGCTTCTGTGATTATTTTGCTTGATGTGAAGGAGAGGAAAGCTTTTTAAAAATTAGGGAGAAGCTGCTGTAAAACCACAGAAAGAACTGCAGGATTTGATTGTTTGATTCAGAGTTGGAAAATAATTTTGAAGTAGTTTGAAAGTGAAACTGCGTCTAGATTTCAAGATTTTGATGCCCTTGTTAATTGAGTTCTGTGTGACTGACGCAATTCTAGTTACTCAGTATGTGTTTTGCCCAAACTTTCTTCCCCTTTTAATTGTTGTTGTTATTTAATTGTTCTTTTTACAGTATTTAATTTTTTTCTGAAACGCTGATGTCTTTCATTGAACCACCTGCTCTGCAAGCTCAAGCTCTTGAGGGAGCAGCAATATCCATTTCACTATGAGACATGCCTTTCTGTTTCCCACTACATATGCCAGAGCTTGAGTCCTGCTTTGTTGTCCCAGGCTATGAACTCAGATTTTGTAGCCTAATACGTGTCATAAACATATTGCATACTGTTAAATATCAAACACCAGATACTGCTGCGCTTTTTTTTAAACCCGTGCTTTTATGGTTTCCAAGTAGAACAGAAGTTAGCTTGGTTCCTGCTGTGAGTTCCAGACCTTAAGACAATCTTCCTCTGCAGGTTTGTATATTGAATATGTTCTGTGTGGGCCATACGTTCTCTTGGAGCCTGGGAAAATAGGGACTTCTGATTCTCAGCGATTGTCAAATTGTATGATAAGATACTTAGTGTATGTTGTGGTAGAAAAAAAATAATAGAATGATTAGATAGATACGCTTCATGCTCTGCCCGTTGCCCTATTGCATAGCGGCCATTATACACTGAAACAAAACAACATAAATCTGAGTTGTCTGGTTTGATAGCTGAGAGGATAAAGTATCAGTAAAGCAGATAGTAGGGACGGAAAGGTACAGAAATTTTTGCTTTCAATTTGAAACATACACTTGTTTCCATTTCACATCCACTCAACAGATTTTCTCAGGCATATTGGTAAGGCAATATTGTATGTGCCCATAAGTTCTCAAACAGCCTTCAAATTGTGGACATCTGAATCTGTAGGGCTCATTCTCTTTCTCTGCTGGAGATTTACTGCAATTACAGCTTCAGTAACTATACACAGATGGAGTTTCCATAGTGTGTGATCCTCATGCAGACAGATAACATTGTATTTCAAACCGATGGATGAAATATAAATTATGGCTCATAATGGTTCATGATGTCTACATCAAACATTTGTACCAGTGACTGGTAGAAGTGCAGCAAATCTTCTTCTCCAAGCTTAGCACAGTTGTAGTGCACTTGCCAGTATTGATGATTGTTTCCTATTTACTTTGCTCTTTACTTTTTTAGAAGTCAAAATTGGAATCAGTAAGGTACGCTACTGCCAAAGCAGATGCTGTTCATCTGCTTCCATCCTATAAATACAGGAGTAGTTTGTCTGCAAAGTGTTCAGCAGTGCTACTGTGTGAATGGGATTCTGTCTGTGATCTATCAGGAGCAGTTGGCCTGAGCGCTCATTTGCAACATCCTTCAACACTTCTTAGAGATGTTTTCCTTGTGCAGGGATCAAGACACCTGTTTCTTATTGCACTGAAATGCAATGATTTCTGGCAGTAATTTACATTGCTTATAGTTTGTATTTATAGTTTTAAGTTAATTTACCATTGTTACGAATTTTGCTTGGTCTTTATTGGAACATCCTCACCTACGTAGTGCTATTAGTTCTTTGAGACTGTTGGTCTGGGACTTCAGCGGAGGTGGTTTTTAAGTTTGCCATGTTATTTTCGTTAAAAACAAAACTCCCAGCATTATTAGCACATGTAAAAAGACAGTAAAGGCATACAAATATTTTCTCTGCCTAAAAAGACAATATTAATTATGGGATTAAAAAGAAGCTTTGATTGCACAACTTAGTTGTAAAGAATTTTCCCCTCATTCATTAGAGTGTAAAAGAGGTGAGTTTTTTCTTTGAGATGATACATGTCAGTGATAGGAAGAAGACATAAGTTATTGGAGTAAAGTTCCTTGAACTGTGAAAATGGAAGATGAGAGATGCTACATTAACTTGTATTGTTAGAAGCATATGCTATAAATAGAATAAGTGAATGTACGTTTTAATATAGCTTTTAATAAATACGATTCTTCTGTAAAATATATTTTTCTTAGATACAGAAATTGCTTTGATTAAAAACTCTTGTTATGGAGGGGGAAGCAAATTAGGATGCACCTACAACTGAAACCCAACTGCATTGATTGTATAGTGTTTCTATTGCAAATCACATAATGCTGGTATTGGGGAAATGTAAGCAAAGGTTAAAACAATCATAAAATCAAGTTTCAAAAGTTACCAAAATACTTTTAATGTGCATTACTCTTTTTTTTTATTAGTAATTTTCCATTGATAATTGAGGTCATGAGATAATACAAGAAAAGTTTTAATGAAATAGATTTTTTAACATCAATCTTGAAAGCATTTACAGCCTACATAGATGAATGTTCTTAGTGTTGTCTGTGGGCTGTCTGGTGAATAAGGCTGTTGAATGTCTTTAAAGTTTATTCCTGAGCAAATTGGAGCACAAATAAGGCCTGTGATCAAAACGGAATGTCATTCTCAGGTGAATAGATTGTCCTTTTTGTTTGTTTTGTTTAAGTTTCTGTTAATGTGTAAACACATCTCTGAGCCACTCTTGATATTTTTGCTCCTCCCTCCTTCCCCCCCCCCCTTTTTTTTTTAACTAGAAAGATTTTGCCTCACTGTTGCGGTTATAAACTACAGTAGGCTCCAGGCTTCTCCCCCCATTTCCTTTTCCTCTCAATGGCCATTGCCTTCTCAGAAACAAATTACCCAACTCAGCTTCCTTTTTAATAGCATTGGAAGTAAAATTGATCATTTCTATGAACATACACATTTGTGAAAAGAATTAATTGCATATAAAATGCAAACCACTGCAAACTGTCCCTGTGTCTTGTCTAGCTCACTAATTTTGGTTCTGCTATTAGCTGTTTTTCCAGAAGTAAAATTAGTAGCTAATGCCGTAGGACTTAATGCTCATTTTGAAAGTTATTTTAAAAAGTGGTAAGTCTTTCGGTAGTGATATATTTAATCTATAGTATGCTACTAAAGCAATAAAATGAAGACTGTTTTAGGTTTGGAGGCGCCTGGTCTTTGACTATGTTTGTGTGGTTTTTTAGCAGAGCATCCAAGCCACATGGTACTTACAGGTCCTGTATTTCTTTGGCACTGGCCTTTACTTTTTTGTAAAGTTACTATGCTCAGCGCTAAATAGAAATTTAAAAAAATAGAAATAGAATAAATAATAGAAATAGAATAAATAGAAATAGAATTATTCCACTCTAAATGGGAGGTTTGCTTTTGCTGTCAGGCACTTGCATTCATATCCATTCTCTGTCATTGGGGATATCTTATGCAGTGTGTTTAACCGGTTTCTTCTGACAGTCAGTTCTGTGTATGCATTTAGTTATAGCAGTAAACATGTTGTTCAGTAAGTATAGGGATTTATGTTAAAGCTACCTAGCAGCATCTTCAGCTTTTCGATACAGTGGATTTTTTCCTGTGTTCTGCTATGACAGATTTTTCTGGGGTAGGTTACAAGCACTAGTTAAATAAAAAAGCTAATAAAAGACTGTAACCCCTCAGGGGTCATACCCAATAATAGCGTATGCCACCAAAAGGCTCTGTAGAGCATCTTCTCAGTGCCACTGCAAATCTCTCAACCATGCTCTACAGCTACCCTTCCACCTCAAATCAGTATTACTGATGTATTAGCAGTGTCATGTTTATACACATTTGGT